CCAATCTTTAATTATTTTATTTATTCAATTTGTATCAGAGCCTTTGCCGATTTTATATTTTGCAGTATCCTCCTTCACTTTTTTGTAGTTAATTTCATTGGTTAATGGACATAGAATTTGATTTTTATGAAAATTTTATTTCTTGATTAATTTCCACTTTTTTGATGGTAAAAAACAAAAAAAAAAAAAAGTAGAATGTATAATGAAAAATAGAAAATGATGAATATTATTTCGAAGAAAATGAAGATGAAGTTGTATATGCTATCAAATTCTCTTTAATATTTGGAAATGTTCATGTATTGGGGATTTATCTAATGTATAATGAAAAAGTTTATAATGAAAAAATGTATAATGAAGAATGTATGATGAAAAAATGTATAATGAAAAATACTTGGAATTGTTCATATATCACGAGATTTACCTAATATTTAATAAATATATACCTGATACTGTATCGAGAATGATCAACCATTATTAACATTGATAGGATAAAAAGAGCACTAGCTCTATAGAAATTCTATTTGAAGCTTAATTCATACAATATCATTACATTTTACTGATATCCGTGGAAAACAGATGTGGCCATGCCATATTACGATCTGTAAAAAGCCTTATTCCTCATCATACTCTTCTCCATCTGGATTTAATAATTTGACTAGTTTAATAAATATAACACCCACAGAATCATAGTTAAGGCTTTTGAAAACGTTGCTTAATTTGTCACCAAAAACATCGTCTTTTAAGGCACGAACGTAATGACTACTAGAATCGAACGATGATGGGTGAAGATATTCGTATTTGCTTTTTACAGCGTATTTTTTAATAAGTTGTAAAGCATCTTTATCGCCATAACAAACGTTTGGATTGGTTTTTATAAAATAATAGTAGTATTTTTCAAAGTCGAAGTCCTTGGTTTCGGATTCGTATTCGAATGGTACTTTCAATTGCATTTTTAATGAATTATTAATGGCAATAATAGCGTGGCTAATAGTGTGGCTAATAGTGTGGCTAATAGTGTGGCTAATAGATGATTTGAATTGAAAAAAATCAGAACTTTTACGTATCATTTATACACATTTTAACGGAAACTTGCTTCCGAGATATTCGTGTAACCAACTGATTACAAAATCCCAGAGTCGAAACAATGTATGTATAGTTATGGAATTACCGGATCTCGGCCTTCAGTGTTCATTAGAAAGCTGCAAGCAGCTTGGTATTATATCCGTTCAAATTCCAATAATGCATTATGATGTTATCTATTCTATCAAACTATTTATGTCTTATTCAATAATACTCACCGTCAAATAGACTTTTTGCCTTTTTATTGCGGCTGCTGTGGTTTAAAGTTTTGGTATATTGCTCGTTTTTCTTGTCTAAAAAGATAAAAAAAAATAAGTTTCAAACTTTATTACCTTGAAAAAAAAAGTTTGGATCACAGATACCCACCTACGCACAACTGTTTACGTTGGGCGGAAAACAAACGTGTAAGATTTTTTCTTGATTATTAAATTTTTGAAAAGGTGTGAGGTGTAAAAGTCTGCCAATTTTTCGCAATTAAATATTTTTTTTTTGTGTAAAAGGGATCATTGATCGCTTAAATAATCACTAATCATTTACCATTATTTTTATTTATAATTTATAAGAACATCCAATTATGTCCAGTATGTTCATCTATGGTTTTGGTGCCACAGAATGAAAAAGAAGATAAAATTGTGATTATTTATTTCATTGTTTTAATTTAGCGGGTAAAATATTCACATATTTGACTAGTTTTGATAATCTAAAATTTCTAGAAATTTATTAATAACCACCTAGTGTGAATGTTTTTCCTGCTGATTAATTTTTTTTTCTTATTTAATAATTGCATATAAAAAATACTTATTTTAAAATCATTAAAATAGTTAGAGGAACATAAACAATCAAATTGCACGTTATATCTATTATCTTCAGTACCACCTACTACGCAAAAAAAATGCAACCTCAAGCTATGTAATGATAAATCATCCAAAGGAGATGTGATGATATATGTAGTTTGCGATGGATGTGGAGATATGTTTTGCTTAAAGTAAGACTTAGCCTTATTCTAAGGGATTGATTTATTTTAACCAATAATGTATAATGAATTATTATTTTTTTTTTAAGACACCGGCACCCACCAACACATCAATGTGCTTCACTAAACATTGCATCAGAAAACAAAGCAAAAAGACGAGAAATGGCTGAAGAATTAATTGCTAAATATTTCAAGAAAACTAATAATGACTTCAAAGATAATATGTCCACTTCGGCTGCCTCGTCAAAATCACAGACTTCGTTTACTGCGAAGCCAAAAAAGAAAGGAAATATGGTCGAAATTATGAAATTAAAATCCAAAGCTCGGGTATTTGATGCATGCAAATTTTGAACATTTTTAATTAAGTGATTGA